GCGCGCGGCGCGGCATCCCCCCTGTTCCGTTGTTGCACCCTGGCGCCGCCCTCTTCCTCGCTCCCCCGCTTGCTCTCCCTATATGGCGCTCTCCCCGGCCGCGCGCCGCCACCGCGTGTCGCAGGGAGATAGGCCCCGGGGCGCGCCGCTCTCCCGCTCTATGCGGCGGTCCTCCCGCGCTCCCATATGCGCGCTCCGTTTACTCTCCCTGTTTGCGTATTGATACTGTTGCCGTCTCCTTATTGTCAACCGCACGACGATTTCCTCTCCTACACTCCGCGCTCTCCCCGAGAGGACCTTTGGGGGGCACCGCGGCGGCATCGCTTCTCGGTGGAGGGGCGGGGTGGGCCCGGCCCGCGCCGTTGGTGCGGTGCGCCCCCCAAACACCAAACTGCTTTTAAAACTCGGCGGCGCTCCGAACCTCAATAAGCGAGCCGAGGGCCGGGCGGGGCGGAGAGCCGGTCTAGTCTGCTGGCCTCCGCTGCTGGCCGCGTCCATGTGGGGCGCGTCCGAGGCGCTGCCGCCCGCTGTCGACACCGCCACGCCGCGCCGGCCGCAGCACGGCCCCAACGGGGCGCGCGCGGAGGGGCGTGTTTCGGACGCGCTCCCCCGTACTAGCGGCGTAGCGGGGCGAGGCGGGCAATCCTCGCGGCAACAGCTGACGCGACTAGAAATCTCTGTCCCGAGCGGGGTGGGAGCGTGCTGTGCTGAGCGTGTCCGGGGAGCGCCGCGGCAACGCCTGGCGCGGCTGGGGGGTGGCGGCGTGGCGGGCGGGACGGGACGCGGAAGGAAGGAAGGAACGAACGAAGGAAACGCGGGCAGGCAGGCACGGCACGCCAGCGGAGTTTTGGCGGGAAAACTTTTCCTTTCGAGATTGGCGCACGCGGAGTTAATTTTGCGAGCGACAAACACGCGGCAAGCGGCGGCGCTATAGTTGGATGGTTAAGGCGCGCGCGCGCGCCGGAGCTGCTCACCTTGGGGTTATAGAACTACCGAGATACATTTTATTTTACCCACAATGTGATTTTTTCCTTCACTTTTTTTCTTTCACTTTTTGGCAAGCCAGGTTGAGATAAAACGTGCCGACCCTGCAGGGCCTTTTACTTTGTCCCGAAGGTCCCGAAGCCTGAGTGGCGCGCGGGCTCTCTCCGCCGCTCTTGCGTGTGTAGCCGGCTGAGCACTTCGTTAGCAGACGGACTTTGTTGTTATTCCGCTCCTCGCCGCTTTACGCAGCGCGGGGGGCGGGGCCGGCCGGGCCGGCTTGACGGCGGCGCGGCTCAGCAGGTCGCGGCCCCTTCAGCTCGGCGGCGCCAACTTCATCCCACCCCCTCCAAACACGTTTTAATGGAAAAAGAATGGGGCTCGACGAGGTGGTGCGGGGTGGTGGTGGGGCGGCCAGGTGGCCCTCCCGGGGCCCCGAGTGTGTTTGCGCCGCTCACTCGCCCCGCGCTCGTCATGATGTCGCCTAACTTTGCTGACGAGGCACTTTGCCTGCTCCGAGCCCTCTATGCCCGCGCCGCCATGTACCCCGTCAAGGGCGCGGTGCACGGCGGCGTCCTCGAGGCGCTCGAGCTGACGGCGCCGCCACCGCACTACCGGGCATGCACCGTTAACTTCTCTCGCCTCACGTAGACGCCCGCTAGACTCGAGTCAGATGCTTCAACTCGAAGTCTGCTCGTGCCGTGCCCCGCGAGAGCCTGAGCTTTTGCTCGGCGGGGCGCGCTTCTCTGGGGCGCTGACGGGGAGGGGCGGCGCGGCCGCCTTTTGAAATGGGGCCATTTCGCCCGCGCCTGGCATGTGGGGCATCGCCACGCCTAGCTGCGCCTAATCCATCTTGCCCAGCCGCCGCGCCCGCCAGTCCGCCATTCTGCGCGCACTTTGCATTAACGCTTGAAATAAAATATTGGGCGGTCGTTGGCGCGGGCTGCGCGGGCTGCGCGGGCTGGAGGGCTGCCGCGTGACGGACGGCCGCTGACGCCGCGCGTTAGCGTGACGTGCGACCGCGGGGCCGCGGCGGGCTGACGCGACGCACTGTTCCGGGAGCGCCCGTCACATGTGCGCCTTTTCTAAACGGGCGCCGGAGAGGATGACAAATTAGTCGGTCACAGCGGGGCCGCCGCGCTGACGGGGCGGTGCTGAGGACAGCGACTGCGACCATAGCCTGCGAGGACGGCGCGTCCTCGGGAGGTCGACACGCGGCTGTTGTATAGGCGGCCGGATGCGCCCCCCGCGCCTCGGCCGCAAGCCCGTCGCCGCCGCCCCCCTCCCCGCCACCGTCCCCTGCTGCCCCCCCGACCCGCCGCCTCCTCCCCCGCCTTCCACGCCGCGGCCCGCGCCCGGCCTCGGCGGCTGCAGCACGATGCGGATGCCGGGGCGGTACCGGGCGCAGCGGGTCTACCTGCTCAACACCTCGCTCACCATGGAGCTCGTCAACATGATGGACCTCATGCTCAGGATGGTAAGGCAACGCGTTGTCGGCGGGCTCGAGCACCATTTCCTAGATGTTGGCTGTCGTCTGTGTGTCTGTGTCGCCCGGGTGGGTCGTGAAAGTTATTGACCCCGCGCCCCGCTCACGGCTGACTCGCCCCTCCGGCATTACTTGCATTACTGCTTGTTCCACAAATTCCCCGCCCCCTCCCCCCTCT